GATTTCTTTTATCTGACTGAACAAGTGTTTTGAGGAAAAGGAAATGGATGGCAGTGAATTCAAGTATGCTCTGTCAGTCTCAGAAAAATCTTTAGCAGGTGGCCAGGGAGAGAAAACACCAAAATCCACTTCTGTCCCTATTCCCACTCCCTCTGCAATCCAGGTCACATGAAATATTCTCATTCCCAACAACTATCTTTTCTTGTTCTCAGCTGCTAAGAATGTTATAAAGTCCACTTGTGTCATCTGCCACGCTGCTTTAACAGTGGGGTCATTGGCCTTCTCCACGGAGTCATTAATTGTTTCCAGCTGTTACTGGACCAGAATCAAATCTGCCTTTGCCTGCTCCTTCCTTTGTGCCAACAGTGCTGGTTTGTTGCCAGGCTGACTGGAGACCTAGCTTAACCCCGTTGCCTGTCTCTGCTTCATACTGAACTCCGTGTACAGAGCAGCTCTTCTGGGAGGGTTGCCTTGAAGTGTTTTGATCTTCAGAGCATTAGTGGAAGCCTGTGCTTTTTCTGGGTGAACTGGAGAAGACCTGGACTGGGCAGCAGCAGACCTGGGTTCTGGAACTGGTGTTATTTACTTCATAATCATGCGCCGGCAAATTCTTTTACCTTTCCTGAGCCTTAGTTTTTCACATGGAAATGTGATGGATGTGCCTTTGAAAATAGTATTGGAATATGCTGAAGTGATTACTGTATTGGTGATTTTTGCAAGGTTTGTCTGAGGAAGCTCCAGTATGACTATCAGTTTGTATGGTTTCTCCTAATAGCTGAACAGATCCTATAAGCATAAGGCTAATAATGGAAACTTCTTCAAACGACCGTCTTTTCGCCCAGCTGGTGTGGTGCAGTGGTTGAGTGTCGATCCGTGAACCAGGAGATCATCAGTTTGATTCCAGGTTTGGGCTCGATCCCTGGCAGGGAGCATGAAGGAGACAGCTGATAGATGTTTCTATGTATTTCTGCCTCTCCCTCCCCCTCTCTCTAAAAACAAACAAATAAATAAAAATACAATAAAAAATAAAATGACTATATTCTCATTATAGCTTATCTTTTTTTTTTTTTAATTCTCACCTGAGGATATGTTTATTGACTTTAAGAGAGTAAGAGAGAGAGAGAGAGATTGATTGAAAGAAAGAAATCAATATGAGAGAGAAACATCCATCTGTTGTCTCCCATACATGCCCCGACCAGGGATTGAACTTAGTGTGCCACACTGTTTTCCTATGTGGAATGGGTAAAGTGAACATATATAATTAAATCTCAGTGCCTGTCTTCCAGTTTTGATATAAGTCGATAGCCAGTAAACTGCTATTTAGTGAATGGATGATCACTTCTTGCTACCTTTTTTTAATATATATATATATATATATATATATATATATATATATATATAGTCCAGTGCATGGCTTTCTGCACATTGAAAGGAAATTAATTAGAAGGTGGCCGGCAGGGTGGGTCTGGGTGAGATGGGCTGGACACGCCCTGGAGCCAACCTCCCTTGGTCCCTCCCCTGGGGTGGGACTGGGGCTTGAAGGGCATCTGTGGAGTGAGGGAGATCCCTCCAGCAGGTGGGATCCCTCGGCCTGGCCTGTGGGGATTGGGCTGAAACTGGCAGTCCAACATACCCCGAGGGATCCCAGAGTGCGAGAGGGCACTCTGAAAAGTTGCTGTTGCTCAGCAGCTCCTGTGTTGAGTGTCTGCCCCCCGGGTGGTCAGTATGCATTATAGCTACCAGGTGTCGGCCAATTTATCCTTTTATATATATATATATAGATATAGATATAGATATATTTTACTTTTTAAATTGATTTCAGAGAGGAAGAGAGAGAAACATCCGTGATAAGACAGAATCATTGTCAGCTGCCTTCTGCACACCCCACACGGGGATCGAGCCCATGATCCTGGCATGTGCCCTGACTGGGAATTAAATCACCTCTTCGTTATAGGTCAATGCTCAACCACTGAGCCACACCAGCTGGGCTTTTCTTCTCATTTTCACCTGAAAATGTAATACACTTTATTTACTTTTGCACATTGCTCTTTCTTTCCCTTTACTTTCATTTGGCTAACACTGTCTTATTTACTTGATTTGTTTCTGAAGGATCACATGAGAATATTAATGATAGATTTCTAAGGACTTTTCTATAATAGAGCTATACTTTCAATGATTTGGTCTAGTCTTCAGAATAGTCAGTGGAGGTAATCAATTACAACTTTTTCTCTTTGCCATCCTCTGGCATTTCTGGGATAGCTGAGGTGCTGTACTAAATGTATTGTGGAAAAGAAGGGAATAATATATGCTCTGTTTGCTGATCATTAATACATTCATGTTAAAATTTTAATTAGGTAATTAACTTTTAAAAATCTAGAGGCATAGTACTTGAGTACTTAGAAAATATAACTGTTGTGTTAGAATCCACCTCTCTTTTGAGTAAACTAGCATACTATTGCTAATTCTTAATTTTACCCATTTAGAAAGATAGAACCAATAGTATGAGTAACCCTAGGTATAGGTTTATTCCCACAAAGATCAATTCAATTTTTTTCCCCATTTTTTTTTTTTCCCCAGAGAAAGTGGGAGGGAGGGTAGAGAGGGGGAGAGAGAGGGAAACACTAATGTGAGAGAGACACATCAACTGGTTGGCTCCTGCATGTGTCCCTGGACCCGCAACCAGGTACGCACCCTTGATTGGGATTTGACCCATGACCCTCCTGTGCACAGGCTGATGCTCTAAACACTGAGCCATATGGGCTAGAGTCAATTTAAACTTTAATTGGAGTATATAGAAATGTGCTCACAGATCATAATGTGTACAGCATAGTGTCTTTTACAGACTGAAACCTCTGTGTAACTAGCACTCAGATCAAGAAACAAAACATTAACAGTCTCCTCCAAAGTTTCCTATGCATCCCCTTCCAGTGAATAACCCTCATAAAAGTAACCATTATATCTATTTTTATCTACTTTATTTTAAAGGACATTTACATTAATTAGGTCTTACTAAATTAACATTAATTTGCGATCCCCTGATCCCAGGCCAGTTAACCTTGGGCCAAAATTGGAGGGGAGGAGAAAGATAGGCATGAATACATGGAAGCATGTAGGATAGAAGGGAAAGGATACCTTAATTAAAAGTTTGTCATGCCCTGGTCACTGTGTACAATGGTTAGAGCACCCATTCCCTAAAGGGTCTCGGGTTTGATTCCCGGTCAAGGGCACATACCTGGACTGCAGGTTTGATCCCCCACCTTGGTCAGGGCAATTTTGGGAGGCAACCAATGGATATGTCTCTCAATCGATATTTCTCTCCCCCTTTTTCTCCTCTACCCCCCCATCCCCACTCTCCCTAAAATTCAGTGGAAAAAATATCCTCAGGTGAGGATTAACAACACCAAAAAAAAACTGGTCATGATTTGAGTGAGCCAAATATAGGTAGCTAAGGGATAATTTGAACTTGATATCTTTATTAGGAGAAAAAGTTACTTTAATATGTTTTTTGTGAAAAATCATTATAATAAAAATAGTGGAGAATTTAGGGAGTAGAGGATCCTGAAAAGTGAAAATGAAACCAGATGTTGATTTTGACAAAATTGCTTTCATGTAAATATGTAACGTTATATGTAAACATGGTAACGTTATTAGATACTGTATATGAATTAGAGTTCTGCGTAGGTTTGCAAACACATTTTTTTCCCTTTTACATTTCTGAGACTTTCTGTGAAGAGGAAAGTTAAAATAAAGAATAAGGTGGACAGGCAAATAGGAATGTGTCCCTCTGAAGGGATGAACTCTGGGACAGAGTGATACATGTAAAGAAAGCTGTACTTGAATATAAAGGAGAGACTTGAGCTGGGAGTCAGAAGTCTTTTATTTTTGTCCTGGTCTGACCAATTGTGATTTTTAACCAAGTCACTGAACTTCAGCCCCTTCTGCTTTTTAAAAATATGTATGTGTTTTTTAAAAAATGTGATTTTATTAATTTTAGGGAGAGGGATAGAGAGAGAGAAACATTGATCAGCTGCCTCCTATATGCCTCGAGCCCATAACCAAGGCATATACCCTGATGGGAATTGAACTAGTGACCTCATAGTTCATGGATTAATGCTTAAGCATTGAGCCACCCCAGCCGGGCATAAAAATGTATGTTGCCCTGGTTTTGCCCAGTGGTTAGAGCGTCAACCCACAGACAGAAGGGCCCTACGTTTTTGTTTTTGTTTTTTAAATATACTTTATTGATTTTTTAATAGAGAGTTAGAAACATCGATGAGAAACATCAATCAGCTGCCTCCTGCACACCCCCTATTGGGGATGTGCCTGCCATTCCCCCCCACCCCCCCAAAAAAAAAAGGGACCCTATCTGGTTTGGCTCAGTGGATAGAGCATCGGCCTGTGGACTCCAGGGTCCCAGGTTCGATTTCGGTCAAGGGCATGTACTTGAGTTGCAGGTTCCATCCTGACCCCGGTCAAAGCGTGTGCCAGCAACAACCAGTTGATGTGTCTCTCTCAAATCAATGTTTCTCTCTCTCTTTCTCTCTCTCTTCCTCTGCCCCTCCCCACCTACCTTTTACTCTTTCAAAGAAAGCAATGGGAAAAATATCCTCAGATGAGGATTAACAAAAAAAATTTTTTTTAAATTATCAGTTGAAGGTCACGGCAAATGAATAAATGTGTGGCTTATAGATTGGTCTTTTAAGTACTTGACTGATGTGAATGGATGTACGAGGATTTGACCAACTCTGGGTAACCTGATAAAATCCTATTTCAGACCTAATCCAGGAGTCTGCAAGTGACAGCAGCCTGTGAGGTCCTTAGGAAGCTCAGACTGGAGGAGGACACATGAAAGAAAGGTAGGTTTGACCTAATGTAATTTATGAAAGTGTTTAAAAATAAAAGTGTAATTGTAATGCACAAAGGATTGCTTTCTTTCTCCCTTTTCAGAACCCCAAGAGGCTTTGCTTTCTGTGAAAAGGTATTTCTGTACAGTTGCTCCAATGACAGAGTTGCCTGCACCCTTGTCCTACTTCCAGAATGCACAGATGTCGGAGGACAACCACCTGAGCAACATTGTACGTAGCCAGGTACATTGTCAGTCTCTGTAACTGCCTTTGTCAGACCGGATTCTCTGATCACCCTCCCTCACCTCCAAAAGATGCTGAGGGGGCTGAGCAGGTTTCTCCGTTTTACCACATTCACATATTTTCTGAACTTCAACTGACCACAAAGCATTGTTCCATTTCGTGCTGGGGACGCAAGGCTGTGTGAAGCATTGGTGTTGTATAGTTCATCACTGGCTCAGATAGCACTGCATCCGTTGAAGCCTCTCCAACTTCCTCACCTATTTATTATTCCACCTTTCTTGCTCTTACTCTTCTATAAGCTGAGTACATTTTATTTACTTTTATTTTTTTAGTACCTAGTATGGTTCCTGACAGTGCTCAGTAAATGTTCACGACGAAGTGCATGATGATGAATGCAAAGCTAAGTGTAGAAGTCCTAAGGTAGATCAAAGAAGAGAAGTAGGAACAGGTGTAATCTGTGGCATGGGACACAGAGACCTCACCAACTATATACAGAGACTTCAAATCTGCCTGTGACCGTTAGCTAATCATTACAGATTGAAGGTGGTTTCCACAGAGGACCTATGAGATGGTTGAGGAATTGGAATTTTTAGAGGCAGAGCCAGAATCGGGGGGAAACACAAGGCCAACTATGAGCTAGGCAGGGTGCACGAGGACCAGGGAATCAGACTTCTCTGTATTTCAACCAGAGGACAGAACCACTGGTGGAAAATACCAGGAAATAGATGCTGGGTTAGTAAGAAGAATTTTCTCACAATTACTGTATGTCTGAAAGGGTTTGGGCTGCCTTGTAGGCCAGTGTGTGCTTGTCACTAAAAGCAGTCACAGGGGCCAGAAGACTACCAGCCACATCTGCAGAGGTTTGCTGGGACTGACTAGCAGACCCTGAGCAACGGATGAATAGATTACTCGGACACACGTTTCTGTGAAAGAGAGGCTAAGGGGCTGGTTGGTAGGAGGCACCAAAACAGCCCTGATTGCCTGCCTCCTTAGGCTTTTAATGTAATGGCAGCTTGAACTAAAATTAACCTCTAGATACAATCAGCAGGATAAGTATCCTTGAGAAAGCACATGTTTCCACAAGGCCGGGTCTTGAAGACCAAACATAAGAGATACCAGCAAAACACCTGGGGGCTCAGACTTGTTTGGAAACGACAAGGCAGGGGCTGCCGCCTTCGGCAAGGTCCCCTTAAGAGGCCCCCCCCCAACCTTTCTCCTTACAGACTTTCCAACCAAGTCCTGTGCTTCCCCACAAGGGTTAGTCCATGGAATGAGCATGAACTAGAGCACTATGTGGCCTGGAAGTTCCCTTCATACTCTGAAGATTTGGAATTCCAACTGAAGGTCAAAATGTGGGAAGGATGGCTTCACAAAGCAGACTTTGCAGGATGCATAGGCTTAGAATAGTGAAAACTGATAGATGCAATAACACTAGGGGAGGGAGAATTTTTCTAAAATATAAATTGACAAGGAGGCTACATCCTCAGAGAACATCAACAGAGGTAGATCGCATTATATTGCTTGAATATGATTAATTAAGTGAAATCAAGTTAAAATGAATATGTAAGGAAGCCCTGAAAGGGAACACAAGCTATCACCTGTAGTATGTAACCTCAGAGGAGTGTGTGGAGGGGGGTGGGGGGCACTTTGACCTTGTGCCTTGGTCTGGGTTGATAAAGAGGTGTTACAGAGACTGATTTTTGTGGCAGCACATTTGTTCCTCTACTCTGGGTCAGCAGCATTTACTCTCTCTTTGCTATTCCCTATCAACAGCTTTTTGAAAAGTTAGGATGGGCCTGGATTATGAAGTTGTTTGGATGCAGGGTATGAACATTTGGATCCTACAGGCTGTCCTCATTTGTAAACTTGGAGGGAGAGGGAAAGTGGGAAGAGCATAGTCAGGTTTCTAAGTACCTTTTTTTTTTTTTTTTTTTTATCTGTGTTACATATAATCTTCTGTGGATCCCTTGAACAAAAGATTCTATAACTAAAAAGTTTTGGAAAAAACACAGTTATATGTGACTCATTTGACCCAAACTTTCCAAAGGCATCTCGTTTCAGAATAAAATCTTGTCCTGAAGTTTTAACCTCACCCTCTCCATCCCTATCAATTGTCTCTTAATCTCTTAGCACCTTCTTCCTCCCTCAGTGCTTCTTCAGCTCTGCCTCTGAGCCCTGGGTCATTCTCCCACTCTTCTCAGATGGCTAACTTCACTTCCTTCAGGTTTCCTCATGAGTCAGCTTATCAGTGAGGCCTTGCCTTCCTTGACTCCGATCCCTTTCCTGTCATCTGGCACTCTGTACCCTTACGCTGCTTTACTTGTGTGTAGCTCTTACCATTATTTTTAACATACAGTTTACTTGGGGATTTTGTTTACCTGCCTCCCCCTGTGTAAGCTGCTTGAAGCCAGATATACAATCTCCTTTGTTCACTCCTGTTTCCCCAGCTTCAAGAACAATGTGTGATGTCCTGGCCAGTATGGCTCAGTTGGTTGGGTGTCATCCTGTGCATCAAAGGCTGCTGGCTCGACTCCCAGTCAGGGCATATGTCTGGTTTGCAGGCTCGATCCCTGGTCAGGGGCATTCAGAAGGCAGCTGATCACATCAATGTTTCTCTTTCTCCCTCTCTCTCTCTATAAATCAATAAAAAATAACTTTAAAAAATATTTTTTTAAATCTTTAAAAAGAACATTAGCAGCCCTGGCTGGTATTTCTCAATGGTTAGAGCTTTGCCCCACACAACAAAGGGTCTAGGGTTCGATTCCCAGTCAAGGGGCATGTTATTTGGGCTGCAGGTTCAATCCTCGGCTTGGATTGAGGCTAGTGTGGGAGGCAGCTCATCAGTGTCTCTCTCTCTCACATCAATCTATGACTCACTTCCTCTCTCCCTCTCTCCACTGTCTTTAAAAAAAAAAAAAAAAATCAAATGGAAAAAAAAAATGCCCTTGGGTGAGGATTTAAAAAAAAGAAAAGAAAAAAAGAAAAGAAAAAATGTCCTCAAGTGAGGATTCAATAACAACAACAACAGAACAGTGTGTGGCACTTAGTGAACTCCCTGTTGTTAATGTAGTACTGTATTGTTTATATCCCTCACATTCACATTCAGGGTTTGGGAGGCTTTTATGGTATTAGTAGAGGCCTGTGGACGAAAATTCATACCTTGGGGGATGAGTGGGGGGAGTCCCTCAGCCCGGCCTATGCCCTCTCACAGTCTGGGAGCCTCAGGGGATGTCTTACTGATGGCTCCTAGGCCACAGTCTGGCCTCCCTCTGTGGGAGGCCACCAGGCAGGTGGATAAGGTGACATGCTGCCCCCATCACCCCGCCACTGCCTCTGGTGGGGCCTCCCTCTATGGAAGGTGACCTGCGGCTAATTAAGCTGACGATGGCTGGCACAGCCCCTCCACCATCGCCCCTCTGCCACCACTGCTGGTCGCTGCTGTCCCCCCACCCCATTACTTCCCTCCTCCTCCCACCTCCTTGCTCACTAGCATGGTCCTTGGCTGGGCTGGCACTGCCGGCCCCACCCCTTGCTGATTGGTCGTTCTGCCATTTGGTCGATTTGCATATTACCCTTTTATTATATAGGATTTTTCTGCCATTCTTTACACCTCAGTGACTGATAAAATATCCCTTTGAAATAAAAGTTGCTATAGAGGAGGTACAATTGACACAGGATTTTTATTGAAAATTACGTGTGTTCCTGATTTAGTTTTAGCAAGTCTTAGTTCTAATGTTCTCATTGGTACCTTTTAAGTCTGTTAGGGCACGACTGTCCATAACATCAGGGCCTGATTTGTTTAATTTTGACTCTGCTGTTGATAGTATATTGTCAAATAAGTTTATGTTTTATTTATCTCCTTAAAAATGCATTCTATAACTTAAAAATCTTAGTATATTTCATACTTTCCAGTTATCATGGGATCATTATTATTCCCATTTTACAGTTTCTTTTTTAAAAATATGTTTTTATTGATTTTAGAGCAAAAGGGAGAGGGTTAGAAAGATAGAAACATCAATGATAGGAAGAATAATTAATCAGCTGCCTCCTGCTTGCCCCCCATGGGGATTGAGCCCAAAACCCAGGCATGTGCCTTTGACCGGAATTGAATCCGGGATCCTTCAGTCCATAGGCCAATGCTCTATCCACTGATTCTTTCCAAAAATCGGGACTGTTTTAAAACGCCGCGGGACACGGGACAAATTGTTAAAAATTGGGACTGTCACGCCAAACGTGGGATGTCTGGTCACCTTAATATACTGGCATCTGATCTATTAACAGAAACACGTAGCATAACAAGGCTCAAAAAATTGCTCCCTATGTTCATGTTGTGGGCAGAGATTAGGAGAACACTCACTTTCTATGTTATAAATAGGTTTATAACTTAAAAGCTTTTGGAAACTTGTTTATAGTATTTCTTTTATTTACAGAAACAAACCTTTAAAAGGCAGGCAGAACATAAGGTTAAAAAAGAAAACAGGCAGGCACTACACTGTATTAAGAATACCTTCACAAATGTTTGCTGCTTGAGAAATAGCCCTGCTTGAGGGTCCACATGCCTTGGGTGGCTGGACCTAAATTTGCATCAGGTTCCGGAGTAAGGGGAAGGGAAAAAGAATTAAAATGATGCCTCTGATGTAATGGTGTAGGAGCTCACTTCCCACGTACCACTTCCTGTAGGACCCCGCCTTCCCTGAAACGTACAACATTTACATAGTGAGTAATCCTTCCCCTCTCCACAGAAATGAAATCATTGATGATGGCTACGGAACTTTCCTTTTTAACCTTAAAAATATCCTTTATGGGTAAAACTATGGAGGCAGTAAAAAGATCCGTGGTTGCCAGGGTAGAGGATGAAAAGAGGGATAAATAGGCAGAGATCAGAGGATTCCTTTAAAAAAGCATTCTCTTTTTTTAAATAGATCTCAGAGAAAGGAAGTGGGGGAGAGGGAGAGAGAGAGAGAGAAACATCAGTGTTTGGGAAACATCATTGGGATTGC